CTGACATTTAGCTAACATCACTAACATTTAATTAACATCACTAACATTTAATTAACATCACTAACATTTAATTAACATCACTAACATTTAATTAACATCACTGACATTTAATTAACATCACTGACATTTAATTAACATCACTGACATTTAATTAACATCACTGACATTTAATTAACATCACTGCTACTGATTAAACTTGTCTGGTTGAGTTTTGTTCTAGTTTTTGTTCTAGTTTTTGTTCTAGTTTTCATTTTAGTTTTTGTTCTAGTTGTCTATTCTGCTATTAGAGGTGTGATTGTCCTTTGTTCTAGTAGGCAGATAGTTATAAGTGGTGAAGTAGAGTTTATTGACACTCTGCTTGTCAAAGTTTCCCCAACCGTTTTAGTTTCTTTCTAAAACTCCAGACCCAAGCCCACATTTTAGCCTCGTTTTTTTTTTTTCTTTAAAGGTTGCCTTCCTCTTTCTCGAATACGATCTGTTTGAAAAACTATTCGATCATTGATGGATAAAAATAACCGGCCTTGATTAAAACTAGTGGATTCGGTAATCAATCTCCTTGAATAATTGATCGGTGCAATGGATTACCTCATCAATTTAATTACTGATGCTAATTTAAGACACACAAACAACGGCGACCTCAATATCGTCGAGTTTAATCAAAACAATTTAATCATAAATTATATTTACTGGAGGTGGTGGGTTAGTTGGGCTGGTCTTACAGCTTTGGATTATTTTCCCGAAAGTTTACATTGGTTAAATGTGCAAAATTCCGCAGTAGCCTCCCCTAGAATAGATCACAGTTACCTCCCCTTAGAATAGAAAAAGGAGAGAGTAGAGTGAAGTAATATGGGTTTGTCAACTTCCGTGTGTTAGCGGTCACGTGATCAGATGGCCTCTGGTGCTAAGGTCAAGGGCCGCCAGAATACATCACGTGACGATTCACGAAATGAGACTATCAACACACACTTTATACACACACACACACACAGACATATATATATATATATATATATATATATTAATATTAATACTAATAGTTTCGCTGTCTGTCTATCTATCTATCTGACAAGAACGCTCTAGAGAAAACACAAAGAAAATAAAAACATGCATAGTATTTCGAAAAACGAAGTATGACGTCGACACATTTAGCGCACAGAGTAGAAAATAATCTCAAAACCAGAGAGTGCTCAAAGTTATATGACGTCATTGATTTTCGCGTTAACATTGAATAAAAAGGAAATGTTGTCTAATCTTAATGGTTTGCGTGAAGAGTTTCTTGCATACAATTCTTCGGGTAGGGGCGAAGCCCCACCCCCCGCGTAAGAACGTCTGAGCCCCCCCCCCCCCCCTCGGGGAGGGGGCGGACACTGGAAAAAGTATATAATTATATTTCGTTGAATGGGACGGTAGACATTTTTTTTTTTGGGGTGGGGGGGGGGGGGGGTGGGGGGGGGGGGTGGTGTGTGTGGGGGGTGGGGTGGTTTTAGTTTAGACTTTTTCCTCCCCAGAGAGGGGTGGGGGTACTTGAAATTTTCGGGGGCGGGGGTAGAATTTTCGGGGAAGGGGCGGACACTGGAAAAAGTATATAATTATATTTCGTTGAATGGGACGGTAGGCATGTTTTTTTTTGGGGGGGGGGGTGGAGGGGTGGGGGGGGGGTGGTGTGTGTGGGGGGGCGGTGTGTGGAGGGGGTGGTGTGTGTGGGGGGTGGGGGGTGGGGGTGGGGGGTGGTGTGTGGGGGGTGGGGTGGGGTGGGGGGTGGTGTGTGGGGGGGGGGGGTGGGTTGGTTTTAGTTTAGAGAAAAGAGACAGCACTATCAAGCTAGCGCCCGGTGTATCCTTCCTCAACGGGCCATTTTTCTCGTATATATATATATATATATATATATATATATATATATATATATATATATATACATATTTAAATATTCTCATCTTAAAATATGGGATGAAAGTCACCTCTAGCCGTCTCTAAAATCTGATCACTAATTAGCATAACAGAAGGACTGAGGTCATTGTGACCCACTTATAAGTACCCAGAACGGCGGCCGCGTTGATTAGAATTAATTAATGCGACGTCAGATTGAAAATAGCGAAACTTCAATCATGATCCAGCGATTGTAGTCTGAGGTGGGGTGACCGCCATCTGGGGGGGGGGGGGGGGGGACCACCATATTTAATGTGGGGTAACCGCCATCTTGGGGGGGGGGGGGGGCTGCACTATATTTTAGGTGGGGGACCGCCATCTTTGAGGGGGGGGGGGGGCGTGGTGAATTGAGTTCGGTATGCTCCCAGCAGACGATGGAATATTTTACCACATCCTGCCCGTCCAGCCTGCCATTGAAAAGTTGGTCGTCTGCTACAGAAAAGGTTAAAACATTCTCGAATGTTCTGGCCAGGGTCAATTATAGCAGGAGCGGTCTGTTTTAAACTAAGTTTAATTAATGGCAGGATGGTTGGTCGTTTGGTAATTGTAGGATGTATTATTTATGTGGATGTGTGTGAAATTGTGAGGGGGTGTGGTTTTTGTATGACTTTAGTTGTCTGTGTACTTGTGTGGTCTGGTGTGGTTGTGTGGTAACGTACTTTGGTGTGTGGTGTTGTGTGTGAAAATTGTGTGTGTGTACTTGTAACGTGTGTTGTTGTAGATCTAGTCGTCTGAAAGCTCTCCCCTGGGTACCCTCCTATTGTCCGTTCCATCTAGTAGTTAACTCTGAACAAACAGGTTGTCTTGAATCATTCTGACAATGTTGTGAGGCCAACTTGTTGTCTTGAATCATTCTGACAATGTTGTGAGGCCAACTTGTTGTCTTGAATCATTCTGACAATGTTGTGAGGCCAACTTGTTGTCTTGAATCATTCTGACAATGTTGTGAGGCCAACTTGTTGTCTTGAAACATTTGACAATGTTGTGAGGCCAACTTGTTGTCTTGAATCATTCTGACAATGTTGTGAGGCCAACTTGTTGTCTTGAAACATTTGACAATGTTGTGAGGCCAACTTGTTGTCTTGAAACATTTGACAATGTTGTGTGAGGCCAAGTTGTTGTCTTGAAACATTTGACAATATTGTGAGGCCAACTTGATGCAACAAACCAATACAAATACTAAAACAGGTGAAGGCGGTGTAGAGAGTAAGTGGCTTATTGGCCAGGGTCAAGGTCGCAAGTTGGTGTAATAGATGGAATGGTTTAACTGACCGGGACCAAAGGTTCCTGGAAAAAAAGGGATGTCGCTAATAGGGGTGTTTTAGGCTGACGACAACATCGCCACCACACACCACAGTACAACCACAATTGTGTAGTGTTGGTATTAAATAATCAGTTAAAATAGTGGAAAACAAATGGTAAAATCAGTAACTTTAGTTGATACCTTATAAAAATGTTCTTCTCAAGATGATTTATTCACCATAACATGCTCCCCCCCCCCCCCCCCACTCTCAAGCATATTTATTGCTGGATAAGGTAAAGAAAGTCGCCCACTTGTACGTTATGTTGATAACACGCAGTCTTCACCCCAGTTGTATTTCAGTTTGTAATTTTTGTTGGTGTTCACGGCTGGGGTTAATTTATTGCAGGAGGCTAATTTACAAGCCAGCAGCTAAAGGGTTAAGGCTAAACTATCATAACACTTGACCGGTTATCATACCTGGTTATCATACCTGGGGTGGGGTTTAAAGGGTTAAATGTATGAATTCTTGGGCCGTAAACATCGGGTATAAATGTAATTAAAATACAAAAAATGTCGAGTAGTTTGCTGCATGCATACATTTAAAACTAATTTAATGTTACCCAACAAATTTTGTGTTGTACTTAGAAATGAAATGTTGAGTTAACCGCGTCAACACCGGTCCGATTTGCCTCGAGATTTCTGTTTATCCGTTTATCCGCTGGCCAGTTTTTGTTGACCTGAGTTGCCACGATGGCGTTTTATGACGTTGTTTGTTGGCTGCTGGGATAATCTCATCTCTGCTATTTTAAAAATCATTTTGTTTGGCAATATTTTTCTCTTAGCCTAGAAAATAATATGTTTTGTCTAACGGTAACCTTTTAGCTGACAGTCTTCAGGGCAAAAGTTGATTTGAAATCTATTGCAGAAAAAAAAATATATTGCTGTCTTCTCTCCTCTCCCCCTGCCCCACCCCCCAACCAACACATTTGTCCTTCCCCCCCCCCACCATCTCAGGAAGTAACCCCACCCTTTCCCCAACCCCATTTTTTCCCTATGAGATAACCTCTTGACATCCCACCACATTATATACAAAAAGTTTACGACACAAATTATGACTTTCAAAATTTGATCTGATAATTTAGCGTCACCTGACCTGTAGATCAGAGCGTGGTGTAAATCTCTAGAACAAAGGGCTGGAGTCACAACTTCACTGACAGGAGTCATGGCGTCTACTGCTCTTTAAATTCCACAAGCTAAATTTATAGCAAGGAAACAAATAAGCTAATCTTTGTAGTTGAACCAATTCTGGTGGGTTAGAACTGGGTGCTGGTCTCATGTCAGTAGGGGGGGGGGTCAATATTTCTAGGGGTCGGTGGGGGGTCACAAATATTTGTTTACATCAAGTGTGAATAGTGTTGCGATGAATATCACACCGTGTCAAAGTTCATGTTTTATCCACAATTCAGTCATATTGGCGTGTTATATGCGACATATTCATACACCATACAATAAATCATGAAAGACATATGACTGTCATAACCAACATTATCAAGGACGTTTTATGTTTTAATAAATGTGGCCAGATAACGTGTTATAAATCATTCTTTGACGTCACTCGTCTGAATTTTATATTGCATTGCGGCATTGAGATATATAGAGTAAGAATTATTATATAGCTATGTATAATCATATATATATATATATATATATATATATATATATATATATATATATATATATATATATATATATATATATATATATAATTTACAGACATAAAATAGAAAATACAAACACATCATTTCTTTTCTTTTTTTCTTTTTTTTTTCAGATTGGTCATACGACGGTGAGTTATCATAACTTTGTAATAAAAGAGAAGCAACTGTGTTATTTATTTAGGCTTGATAAATTAATTGGGTTGCTTCCCTTTGACTAGAAAACTGTATAGTGTCTTTATTATCACGGGTTATAGCAGTCAGAATGGTGAAAAAAATTATCCTACTAATTAACTTTTGGCGCATGTTGTACCTGTTTAACCTTTGACCTCCTGTGTGTAGGGGTGAGGCAGTGGAAGGACCACTACCCCAAGTGTGCAGGGGAGCAGCAGTCCCCCATCAACATTCACGAGGGCGATGTCGTCATTGATAAGACCATCCCGCCCCTCCTCTACGCAAACTACGACACTGTCATCTCCATGGTCTTGTCCAACGATGGCCACTCAGGTAAACACAGCACACGAGGCAGACACATACGACACACGTAGTAGACATATATGTTAGTCACCCTAATGTCCGTGACCTTATTGTCTGTGACCCTAATGTCCGTGACCCAAATGACCATGACCCTAATGTCCGTGACCTCTGACCCCAGCCTATGCCAGCATCTCTGGAGAGGACGCCCCCACCATCTCTGGGGGTGGGCTGCCCGGGACCTTCAAGGCCGTCCAGCTCCACTTCCACTGGTCAGAATATTCCAACGCCGGCTCAGAGCACTTGATCAGCGGCCACAGCTACCCGCTCGAGGTGAGTCCACGTCTTGCTTGGTTTTCTTGTACGTCCGTGCACCGTTCACGACATGTATTGAATGCAGATAGTTAACAAAAAATGTTTCACAGAAATAATTTGTCGTCACCAGGTCCACATCGTCCACCACAACACCAAGTACGCCAGCTTCAAGGAATCTGTCAATTACACAGACGGCGTGGCTGTCCTGGGGTTTATGTACATGGTGAGTACATACGTACACATAGACACTTACACATAGAGACACGTACACATAGACACACTTACACATAGAGACACGTACACATAGACACACTTACACATAGAGACACGTACACATAGACACACTTACACATAGAGACACGTACACACAGACACGCAGACACTCGTATACATAGACACACAGACACACAGACACTCGTACACACAGACACACGTACACACGTACACACACGTACACAGGAACACATAAACACACAGACACACAGACACTCTTACACATAGACACACGTACACACAGACACACGTACACACGTACACACACGTACACAGGAACACATAAACACACAGACACACAGACACACAGACACTCTTACACATAGACACACGTACACACAGACACACGTACACACGTACACACACGTACACAGGAACACATAAACACACAGACACACAGACACTCTTACACATAGACACACGTACACACAGACACACGTACACACGTACACACACGTACACGGGAACACATAAACACACAGACACACAGACACTCGTACACATAGACACACGTACACGCTGTAATACAATGAGTACATTCTGTCTTTGTTGACTTGCCTCCAGATATCTGAGGCTGACAACAGCAACTACACAGATTTGATTGACAAGTTGATCTTGGTCCAGACGCCAACAGGTGAGTGCTACCTGCGGTCATTTGACTGGTGAGTGCTATCTGCGGTCATTTGACTGGTGAGTGCTACCTGCGGTCATTTGACTGGTGAGTGCTATCTGCGGTCATTTGACTGGTGAGTGCTATCTGCGGTCATTTGACTGGTGAGTGCTAGCTGCGGTCATTTGACTGGTGAGTGCTATCTGCGGTCATTTGACTGGTGAGTGCTAGCTGCGGTCATTTGACTGGTGAGTGCTATCTGCGGTCATTTGACTGGTGAGTGCTACCTGCAGTCATTTGACAGGTGAGTGCTACCTGCAGTCATTTGACAGGTGAGTGCTACCTGCAGTCATTTGACAGGTGAGTGCTACCTGCAGTCATTTGACAGGTGAGTGCTACCTGCAGTCATTTGACAGGTGAGTGCCACCTGCAGTCATTTGACAGGTGAGTGCTACCTGCAGTCATTTGACAGGTGAGTGCTACCTGCAGTCATTTGACTTGAACATATCATGACACTAGTGTGTACATCAACTTTGATGCAGGTTTTGAAAAGTAAACTGTCGAGTTGCACCAACCTTTAGGTTGTTGCTCAATTGACGATATTTATCCTAAACCTATCCCAGTCTTCAGACGTAAAGTTTCAATAACACGTACAACAATCCACCATATTAGGATGACCCACTCAATAATCCGCCATCTTGTTTCAGCCAATCCTGTACCCCTGGCACCTGCCTCCCTGCAGAGCCTGCTGCCTGCCACTTACCAGGAATTCTACCGCTACACCGGAAGTCTCACCATGCCAACGTGTAACGAAGTGGTCACGTGGACTGTTTTTGTTGAGCCAATCAAAATCTCAGAAAAACAGGTACCTAAAGCCAACATTTCCACCAACATTTTTCTTCAAATTTTCATGAGTCCACCCAGCTCTAACGAGTACCCAGCATATGTTTTACACGAGTTGATTTTCCCTCCGCAGATCGCCAAGTTCCGCTCCCTGACAGACGACAAGAAGACCCCCCTGACCATGAACTACCGAGAGGTCCAGCCGTTGAACGGTCGTGTTGTCAAGTCCAACTATGACCCCCGTAAGTCTTACCTTGTCCAACTATGACCCCCGTAAGTCTCACCTTGTCCAACTATGACCCCCGTAAGTCTCACCTTGTCCAACTATGACCCCCGTAAGTCTCACCTCAAGTCCAACTATGACCACCGTAAGTCTCACCTTGTCCAACTATGACCCCCGTAAGTCTCACCTCTAGTCCAACTATGACCCCCGTAAGTCTCACCTCTAGTCCAACTATGACCCCCGAAAGTCTCACCTTGTCCAACTATGACCCCCGTAAGTCTCACCTTGTCCAACTATGACCCCCGTAAGTCTCACCTTGTCCAACTATGACCCCCGAAAGTCTCACCTTGTCCAACTATGACCCCCGTAAGTCTCACCTTGTCCAACTATGACCCCCGTAAGTCTCACCTTGTCCAACTATGACCCCCGTAAGTCTCACCTTGTCCAACTATGACCCCCGTAAGTCTCACCTCTAGTCCAACTATGACCCCCGTAAGTCTCACCTTGTCCAACTATGACCCCCGTAAGTCTCACCTCTAGTCCAACTATGACCCCCGTAAGTCTCACCTTGTCCAACTATGACCCCCGTAAGTCTCACCTCTAGTCCAACTATGACCCCCGTAAGTCTCACCTTGTCCAACTATGACCCCCGTAAGTCTCACCTCTAGTCCAACTATGACCACCGTAAGTCTCACATCTAGTCCAACTATGACCCCCGTAAGTCTCACATCTAGTCCAACTATGACCCCCGTAAGTCTCACATCAAGTCCAACTATGACCCCCGTAAGTCTCACATTGTCCAACTATGACCCCCGTAAGTCTCACCTTGTCCAACTATGACCCCCGTAAGTCTCACATCTAGTCCAACTATGACCCCCGTAAGTCTCACATCAAGTCCAACTATGACCCCCGTAAGTCTCACCTTGTCCAACTATGACCCCCGTAAGTCTCACCTTGTCCAACTATGACCCCCGTAAGTCTCACCTTGTCCAACTATGACCCCCGTAAGTCTCACATCTAGTCCAACTATGACCCCCGTAAGTCTCACATTGTCCAACTATGACCCCCGTAAGTCTCACCTCTAGTCCAACTATGACCCCCGTAAGTTTCACCTCTAGTCCAACTATGACCCCCGTAAGTCTCACCTCTAGTCCAACTATGACCCCCGTAAGTCTCACCTTGTCCAACTATGACCCCCGTAAGTCTCACATTGTCCAACTATGACCCCCGTAAGTCTCACCTTGTCCAACTATGACCCCCGTAAGTCTCACCTCTAGTCCAACTATGACCCCCGTAAGTCTCACCTCTAGTCCAACTATGACCACCGTAAGTCTCACCTTGTCCAACTATGACCCCCGTAAGTCTCACATTGTCCAACTATGACCCCCGTAAGTCTCACCTTGTCCAACTATGACCCCCGTAAGTCTCACCTTGTCCAACTATGACCCCCGTAAGTCTCACCTTGTCCAACTATGACCCCCGTAAGTCTCACCTCAAGTCCAACTATGACCCCCGTAAGTCTCACATCTAGTCCAACTATGACCCCCGTAAGTCTCACCTCTAGTCCAACTATGACCCCCGTAAGTCTCACCTCAAGTCCAACTATGACCACCGTAAGTCTCACCTCAAGTCCAACTATGACCACCGTAAGTCTCACCTCTAGTCCAACTATGACCCCCGTAAGTCTCACCTTGTCCAACTATGACCCCCGTAAGTCTCACCTTGTCCAACTATGACCCCCGTAAGGCCGTAGGGGCTATAGGGTGTCCAGTGACAATGATAGTGCTTTTAATCAGTGGGGGAGGGGGAGGGGGGGGGCAGGACGATTTGTTGTTGTACAACTGTTTTTAATCTCATTATTTTATCTTTTCAGATGTTCACTGGACTTACGGAGAAGATGGTAAGACATGTTCCTTCTTTTTTATCAAGTACTTTTTATAAGTTTTTTATCGAGTACTTTCGTCTATAAATAGAAAAAACCTAATTAAATCATCTGCTAGAAGTCAACAGCTAGAGTGGGTCCTAATCCAGACATGCACATTGAACTTGTGGGGAATAAATGGATGGGGCAGGGGGTGTCATTATTGACAAAACCATTGATGTCTGTTGTTATTGGCGAATGGAAAAGCAAAACAAACCTACCCTGATCAGCTACCCACCCCGAATGTTTTGATGTAAACTTTTGTACTTTACCCGCTGATTTGCATACACGCCTCCCCCTCCCCAACAGATGAGCAGTGGAAGAACCTGTACTCCAAGTGTGGTTCGATCAGCCAATCACCGATCAATATCGAACCGATGAACTGCGTACCTGAAAAAATCGATCCGATGGTCTTCAACTTCTATGAGTCAACACAAAGTTCAATGACCCTCAAGAACAACGGTCACGCCGGTAAGTTTTGGTTGGGTGTGTTGGCGTGGGCAGGATCCGATCCTACGCTGGTATGTTGTTGTGTTATGTGTTGGACTAGTAGACTGAAAGTTTTCATAAAGATTAAGAAAGATTTCCTGTCTGGACAATTAATTGATCAAATACAGACTTACTTTAGTAATAGGTTGACTATTTATAAAGTTTGAAACAAGTACTAACCTGATGACGTATCTGTCTATAAATAGCCGAAGTGGTCATCACCAACGCCAACATCGGCATCCAGGGTGCGGGATTACCCGATCAGTACATGGCCGCCCAGTTTCACTTTCACTGGGGGTCACATGACAAGCAGGGGTCGGAACACAAGATTGACAACAGATCATATCCCATGGAGGTGGGTCATAAGGGGGGTCGCTGGATTAATTGGCTGGATGTGTGGATAAGTGGATGTATGGATAAGTGGATGTATGGATAAGTGGATATACGGATAAGTGGATGTGTGGATAAGTGGATGTGTGGATAAGTGGATGTATAGATATGTGGATGTATGGATAATTGATGTACGGATAAGTGGATGTGTGGATAAGTGGATGTATAGATATGTGTATGTATGGATAAGTGGATGTATGGATAAGTGGATGTGTGGATAAGTGGATGTATGGATAAGTGGATGTATGGATAAGTGGATGTACGGATAAGTGGATGTGTGGATAAGTGGATGTATAGATAAGTGGATGTATGGATAAGTGGATGTATGGATAAGTGGATGTGTGGATAAGTGGATGTATGGATAAGTGGATGTATGGATGTATGGATAAGTGGATGTATGGATAAGTGGATGTATGGATAAGTGGATGTGTGGATAAGTGGATGTATGGATAAGTGGATGTATGGATAAGTGGTTGTGCGGATTAGTGGATGTATGGATAAGTGGATGTGTGGATAAGTGGATGTACAGATAGTTTGCATGAACAGACATAGTGTGACATACCCTCATAGTCATTATGGGAGGGGGGGGGGCTGGTTGAGATAAAAAAAAAAACAAGTAAATAAACACACAGTTACCATGACAACTGTAGTGTAAACCTACAGAAACACACTTACCACTGGACGTTTCGCTTAACCTACCCCCCCTCCCTCTCTCTCCAGCTGCACATTGTCCACTACCGGAAGTCTCTGGGCAGTCTGGGAGCTGCTGTCTCAAAACCTGAAGGTCTGGCCGTTCTGGGATTCTTTTTTGAGGTGAGATCTCCCTCTCTCCCAATCTCTCTCTTCGTCTCTCTCTCTCTCCCCATACCTCTCTCCCCATCCCTCTCGCTATCTCTCTCTTCCCATCTCTCCACATCCCTCGCTTCGTCTCCGCGTCCCTATAATTGTGAAAAGGTAATGAAAGTTGCCATCTACTTAATTAGTCACACTATTCCAATAACCCTAACCCTAACCTGATCCAGATTACCTTAGAAGACAACCCAGCATTGAAAGACATCATCTACAATTTGCCATCAGTCACAGAGGCAGGTAAGGTACCACTAGAGAGACATAATTACCTGTTTGTAAGTCGCCACTAGAGAGATATAATTACCTGTAAGGTACCACTAGAGAGACATAATTACCTGTTTTACTTTTACATTTCGGAAATAACTTTGGTCTTATCACCAAATAAATGAACTGAAGACTGTTGTTGCGCGGCCTTTTAAAATTGACGAATGATTAGTGTGGTGCTGCTGTTGATGTTGACGAATGATTAGTGTGGTGCTGTTGTTGTTGTTGACGAATGATTTGTGTGGTGCTGCTGTTGATGTTGACGAATGATTAGTGTGGTGCTGCTGTTGATGTTGACGAATGATTAGTGTGGTGCTGCTGTTGATGTTGACGAATGATTTGTGTGAAGCTGTTGTTGTTGTTGACGAATGATTTGTGTGGTGCTGCTGTTGATGTTGACGAATGATTAGTGTGAAGCTGTTGTTGTTGTTGACGAATGATTTGTGTGGTGCTGCTGTTGATGTTGACGAATGATTAGTGTGGTGCTGCTGTTGATGTTGACGAATGATTAGTGTGGTGCTGCTGTTGATGTTGACGAATGATTAGTGTGGTGCTGCTGTTGATGTTGACGAATGATTAGTGTGGTGCTGCTGTTGATGTTGACGAATGATTAGTGTGGTGCTGCTGTTGATGTTGACGAATGATTAGTGTGGTGCTGCTGTTGTTGTTGACGAATGATTTGTGTGATGCTGTTGTTGTTGTTGACGAATGATTTGTGTGGTGCTGCTGTTGTTGTTGACGAATGATTTGTGTGATGCTGTTGTTGTTGTTGACGAATGATTTGTGTGGTGCTGCTGTTGTTGTTGACGAATGATTTGTGTGGTGCTGCTGTTGTTGTTGACGAATGATTTGTGTGATGCTGTTGTTGTTGTTGACGAATGATTTGTGTGGTGCTGCTGTTGTTGTTGACGAATGATTTGTGTGATGCTGTTGTTGTTGTTGACGAATGATTTGTGTGGTGCTGCTGTTGATGTTACGAATGATTTGTGTGAAGCTGTTGTTGTTGTTGACGAATGATTTGTGTGGTGCTGCTGTTGTTGTTGACGAATGATTTGTGTGATGCTGTTGTTGTTGTTGACGAATGATTTGTGTGGTGCTGCTGTTGATGTTACGAATGATTTGTGTGAAGCTGTTGTTGTTGTTGACGAATGATTAGTGTGGTGCTGCTGTTGATGTTACGAATGATTTGTGTGAAGCTGTTGTTGTTGTTGACGAATGATTTGTGTGGTGCTGCTGTTGATGTTACGAATGATTTGTGTGAAGCTGTTGTTGTTGTTGACGAATGATTAGTGTGGTGCTGCTGTTGATGTTACGAATGATTTGTGTGAAGCTGTTGTTGTTGTTGACGAATGATTTGTGTGGTGCTACTGTCGATGTTACGAATGATTTGTGTGGTGCTGTTGTTGATGTTGACGAATGATTTGTGTGATGCTGTTGTTTATATTGATGAATGATTTGTGTGGTGCTACTGTTGATGTTGACGAATGATTTTTGTGGTGCTGCTGTTGATGTTGACGATGATTCCCTCTGCGACCAGGAACCACCACCACCATCCCCTCCTTCAGCCTCAACTCCATCTTGCCCAGCAGTAGGAACACCTTCTACAGGTACTCCGGCAGTCTGACGACACCTGGGTGCCACGAGTCTGTCATCTGGACTGTCTTCACTGACACCATCAAGATCTCGGCTAAACAGGTGAGGCTCACGGGGTGTCCTGAATCTGGGTCCATTAGGGTGGGTAGCCTGTGGGTGGGTTAATTTAATGTGGGTAGCTTGGATATTGGTACTCTAGATTTACTTACCCTTGTAATTCAAGACGTCCGTATCACACATGTTTACATCAGCCCTACCATGTTTACAACAAACTGTCCTACCTCCCCCAGCTAAATGAAGCTAATTAATTAACCCAACCCCCTGCCTCCCCCAGCTAATGAAGCTAATTAATTAACCTCCCCCAACTAATGAAGCTAATTAACTAACCTCCCCAGCTTGCAGCCTTCAGAAACCTCAAGTCCTCCCACAAAGATGCTGACGGCCACAGCCTCAATCTCGTGGACAACTTCCGGCCCGTACAGAGGCTCAACTTGAGAACCGTCGTCAGGAACTTCAACAGTAAGTCTGGGGTCAAAGGTTACTTGACAGGGGAGGTGTGGGGGCTGCATGGGTTATCTGTATGGGGGGTGGGGGGTGGGGGAAGACGTACCCCGGGGCAACAGTGCCACCCACATTTGGACTTGACGTAGCACAATTGGAGAAATCACGACCATGTTCTCTGGGGCTGTAGAGTTGATGCGGCGTCTCTATAGGCCTACACGCCACGAACGGCTAAATTCGCGGAGAGGGGGGGGGGGGGGAATCCACACAAAAAAAGTTAAATGTTTAAAAATTCTATCACGAACAAAACTCGATTACAATCGGCAACTAAGCGAGATTGTAGGGAACATGTTTTCTTGTGGTAACGGAAATATCACTGAGTAAGCAATGCATACATCCCAGGTTACGTGTCGTGTGCTTGACTTGGCAATGGTAACATCTGATCGCTCTCTCTCTAGCCTCGCCCCAAAGCCCCACTGTAACAACCCCGGCGTCAACCCGTGGGTCCGAAGTTTTGCCCCGGACCCCCGGGATCACACCCCAGTTGGAGAGCCGTCTGCTCGCAGCCCTCCCCCAGATCCCCACCACAACACCCCCGAGAGGAAGTCGAGTGTTTGACCTTCTGCGCAAGTTCAAGGGCGAGACGGAGGAGGAGTCGAAGGTCAAGGCCGCTTCAAACAAAATCAGCCTCATCCTCCGCCGTGACAAGGACTAACGTGTGGCACCACGTGATTTAGGCCGGCCGATTCTGGAATTTGATTGGCTCTCAAGACAAACCGGAAGTACAAGAACTGGCATTGGCTGAAACCTGGCAAACAAGATGGGGACGTCCAGCAGACGTGCCCTCTCATCTGCCCTCCCATCTGCCCTCTCGTCTTCCCTCCTATCTGCCCTCCCATATGCCCTCCCATCTGCCCTTCCATCTGCCCTCTTATCTGCTTTATCATCCGTCCAATGAAATGTAACCTCGTGACGACCATGTTGACCTAGTCATCTGTCCTAGTAGCCGCCACGAAACTTTTCCAAAAGGTTTTTAGACTACACATTACATCACTGAAAGGAACATCGGAAGTTTTTAAATATCAGGCTCGAACCTGTGTCTCTTGCATGTGACATCAACCGCCTGAAATGACGCAATTATCGTACAACATACAACATCAACATACTGCATGAGACGACCCACCTGTATATCGTACAACATAAACATCAAACGCGTGAAATGACGCAACTATCTTACAACATACAACATCAACATACTGCATGAGACGACCCATCTACCGCTGGGTGTGCGAACAATTTCAACAATTTTAAGTTTAATTAATATTAATTTGTGTGTGTGTGTCTTTTCGCCGTGATGAACAATTCGATCATTTTATTTTATTTATCATTTTATTTTATTTAACATTTTATTTTATTTATCATTTTATTTTATTTATCATTTTATTTTATTTAACATTTTATTTTATTTAACATTTTATTTTATTTAACATTTTATTTTATTTAACATTTTATTTTATTTATCATTTTATTTTATTAATCATTTTATTTTATTTATCATTTTGTTTTATTTAACATTTTATTTTATTTATCATTTTATTTTATTTATCATTTTGTTTTATTTATCATTTTATTTTATTTATAATTTTATTTTATTTAACATTTTATTTTATTTATCATTTTATTTTATTTAACATTTTATTTTATTTATCATTTTGTTTTATTTATCATTTTATTTTATTTATAATTTTATTTTATTTAACATTTTAATCTCTTTATGTGAACAAGGGAAACATTTTATAATTTCTCCTGCCCGAACTACTCTGTTTCACACCCCGATCACTTTATTTTATTGGACCTCTTGTCTCTTTACATATGAACAGTGTGAACATTTGAATAACACGTTGAACATTATGTCTCAGATTTTATGAACAGTGCGAACATTTTACTTATTGATTGGGCAATGGTTTTCTGCTTTCAAATAAACAATGCAAAAATTTTAATTATAATTAATTATATATCGACATTTAGTCTCCGATTAAATGAACAATGTGAATACTTTTTTTTAAATTATTGGACATTTTTGTCTCATTTTGCCTACAATCATAAAGTCATCATTTTTATTATTACCTCCCCCCTACCCTACATATTGTATATACATTTTTGTGTATTCATCAAATTTATTCTTGTTTATCTAGTGTTGCGTCTATTATACACTAGCTTCTTACAGTCAATAAATTTATCTTTTGTTGGTGCGACATTTTTATCTTCTTCTGGTGTTGTACAGTAGAATTGTCTCCCTGTTGTTTTCAACCTTTTTTTCTCTGTCACCTTTGAACCCTACACCTCCGTCTAGTACCCTGCACACAGAGAACAGACTAGATGCCCAAGACAACATCTCATATTTACGTGCTGGAAGCTGTTTTTAAAGCTGTATATCTAGATCAAGGAAATATTTCTAACATAGAGATTACACTGGAAGCTGAGTTAAATATACCAGCTGCCAGAAAACGTCTGTTTGCAGTGGTGGAATGGGGGGGGGGGGGGGCTGACAAGGCAGTGACCTGAGGCCCCCGATTTTTAGTGGCCTCTGAATTATTCTGTCCCGAGACGATAACAAATTTGATTTTCACGTCGCTCATGAAAAAAAACAACCTCAAAAAGTGTCTACCATCAGATGGCGTCTTGTAGAAAACGAATAAATTAAAATCAAAGAAAATGTCCTTAATACAGGCTAGAGAAACATGTACTCACATACATGTTTACTAGTGATGCCGCTAACCCTAGGCCTAACCTAAACCAAATAACATGTTGAAGATAGCCATAGGCCTTTCCATTGTTTAGCTGGTTGGCGGGCGTTAGGACACATAACAAGCACTTAACAAATGTTACAATGTGTGAGCTAGTCCCCAAACTCAACCATCCAAAGAATCAGCGCTACAACCTGCCAACAGCATGTCTCCAGCCATCTGTACCGTACGAGGTCACTCTATGTTAGAAGTTAAACACGATAACTGGAAGCACGGGTTATAGGCCCTAACGTTTTTTAAGAAACAAATTAATTTAAAGAAAATTTAAACCGAACCAGACGCTGTAAATTATCACCATACAGTGGGCTTTCTCTTAGAGAATAGACAAATGACGTGACACTAGTTCGACGTTTATTTGTTTTGTTCTTTATCTATCACTCTATAAACAAACAAAAGTTGTATGTATTGCCATCTCTTGTTCTTGTTCTACTTCCCCTCCTGATACACACAATGTCTTGAAACTTGTTGAACAATTTCTAACCTATACAAGAAATATCCAATTATCCGTCTGTTTTAGAAGTACTTACACAGATGCTTCAAACTTAACTTTAAAATCCAAAGATTAATTTTATTAGTTGACCTATCATAGAATGTTGAAGAAATAAAATTCAAGACGGTCAATTAAAAAGATCTATTATGTGTTGTTTTAAATCAAATTTTAAAATAAAAATATCCGGCATTTAGGCCCATTCGTATAATCTACTCCTACCAACACAAACACTAACGTCAGCACTAACACCAACACCAACACCAACGTCAGCACTAACACCAACACCAACACTAACGTCAGCACTAACACCAACACCAACACCAACGTCAGCACTAACACCAACACCAACACTAACGTCAGCACTAACACCAACACCAACACCAACGTCAGCACTAACACCAACACCAACACCAACGTCAGCACTAACACCAACACCAACACCAACGTCAGCACTAACACCAACACCAACACCAACGTCAGCACTAACACCAACACCAACACTAACGTCAGCACTAACACCAACACCAACACCAACGTCAGCACTAACACCAACACCAACACCAACGTCAGCACTAACACCAACACCAACACCAATGGATTATTTCAGCGATTCTAAATGGCCTCACCCAACATACGACTGTCTTGACCACTGCACCCACTGCAATGACCGCCTCCCCCATACACCACTACCCTGACCCCCCCCCCCCCTCCACCACCTATGACGTCACTAAGAAATCTCTCTCCCCACAGTTCCAGTGTCCAAGCCCCACTGGACGTACGTGGGCACCCACGGCGCTGACCACTGGAAGGATGAGTACCCCATCTGTGCCAGCTCCAGCAGAAGCAAGCAGTCCCCCATCAACATCAAACCCCAGGATGCCAGGTACATAGAGGGACTCGACGACCTGTTCTTCAAGGGCTACGTGGCCAAACACGGCGTCACCATGGAGCTTACCAACAACGGGCACGCAGGTAAGACGCAGGTACAGGACAAGTGGGGGGTGGGGGAGATAGAAAGTTGATTACAGAGGTTGAAGTTTCGGTAATTAGATTTAGGCAAGGAAGAAATTTGACGGAAAAACTGTGGGGAGATGGGGCGAGGAAGTTATGTACCAATAGCCGATATATATATATATATATATATATATATATATATATATATATATATATATATATATATATATATATATATATATATATATATATATATATATATATATATATATATATATATATATAATTGTATAATCTTCCATTATCGAACACGCTACAATGTAGCCTCTAGCTGTGGTCGCTAAGTAGGCCAAACATTCGATGGTTAAATGGTCAGACTTGTGGCTACCGGGACTGGCTAACTGAGGTAGCTGTTGATGGGGCCAACATGAGGTGGCTACCTGTCGTGTCTACATACAATGACGAGATGCTACTTCCGGATACATATGGGGATAGAGCATTAACAAGTTCTTTAAGAACATTAACAAGTTCTTTACATACGGGAATGAAATTTTCAAAAAGAGCTAGTCATATCAAAACAGTGTTACCACCAATATACATAAAATCCCCTTCTCTGTAAGAAAGCATTTTAAAATGTTTATCTTTTGCTTTATGTATTAATTAAAATAAATAAAATTCATACACATACACATTGTGAACTGTGCAAGTGATTAATATGCAACCAAAACCATTGACGGAGCAAAAATAATGTGAGAACAAATATAAAATCATTTCATGACTCCCTATCAGGACGAAGTGAGTAAAACAATTTTTTAACCAGCACATCAAACACAGCACTTAACCAGGTCAGGCTAATGAGGTGTAGGATATTTAGCCGGTTAAGTTTGGGTTAAGTTAGAGTGTAGCCTATATGAACTTATTCTGTATGGGTATATTATTTTATTTGATGAAAATATATGTACATAGCCTTGAACTTTTAATTATATCTGTCGTATTGGCCTATATGGTTTAAATAATGTTTGTGTATTGGTAAAGGAATTATTTTCATTTCTTTCCGTTTTTGTTTACAACACCATAGCATGGCCATTGAGTTTTGGTGTAATTGTATGGTGTAATTAATTCTATTTTAGGGTACCATGCGTGGTAAAAAAAAAAGATTTGAAAACCATTTACTACTGTGTTATGAGAATATTTGTGTGTATCAGTTTTTCACTATGGCATAGACCTACGGTCTGGCAATTGCTTTTTGCGTTGGATTTTCAAAGATTTATCAATCGCTGATAGTCTGTTATTGTGAAGAATTAATATTACGTATCTCGCAATTTTATAACATATCTATGATCACCAATGATCAGAATTCACAATCAGCAAATCCATCCCTAAAAAAATGTGTGCTCTTCTTGTATTCGAACCTGATCCACTTGAGTACGAAGCTGACATCCAACCGACTCGACCAGTGACGTTTGTCTCTTGTTTCAGTTCAAGCTGACATCACCGGCGGCCAGATGCTGGTTATGGGCGGCGGCCTGGTGGGGACCTACAGGGCGGCACAGTTCCACTTCCACTGGGGGTCAGACAACGGGAGGGGGTCGGAGCACCTGATAGATGGGATGTCTTACCCACTGGAGGTACTTGCCTGGAGTTACCTGTTTATATATATATATGTATATATATATATATATATATATATATATATATATATATATATATATATATATATATATATATATATATATATAGTTCATTCATTCATTCGTTCATTCATTCTTCATTCAATTTTATTTATTTTATTTATTTTATTTATTTTATTTATTTTATTTATTTTATTTATTTTATTTATTTTATTTATTTTATTTGTTTTATTTATTTTATTTATTTTATTTATTTTATTTATTTTATTTATTTTATTTATTTTATTTATTTTATTTATTTTATTTATTTTATTTATTTATTTTATTTATTTTATTTATTTTATTTATTTTATTTATTTTATTTATTTTATTTATTTTATTTATTTTATTTATTTTATTTATTTATTTATATGTATGTATGTACATATGTGTATGTATTTCAGGCCCATATTGTCCACTACAGTACAATGTATCCCGACTTGAAGTCGGCAGCTACCAGCAATTATGGTCTAGCTGTTCTGGGTATCATGTTTGAGGTAAGATGGGTGGTTGTGTGGTTCTTAGATTTGGCAGGGCAGATCTTAGGTGTGGCAGGGCAGATCTTAGATGTGGCAGGGCAGGTCTTAGATGTGGCATGGCAGATCTTAGGTGTGGCTGACTAGCTATTCGGTGTGGATTTATGTTGTGTACAGCTTTATGTACCCACCAATTTCTGAAGATTTGTTTTGTATCTCCAGGTTGCTGACGAGACCCAGGAAGGTTACAAGAAAATTTTTGACAGGCTGGAGGAGGTAGAGGAGCCGAGTAAGTTGTGACTAGGGTTTGGGTTTGGGTTTGGGTTCGGGTTGGAGTTAGGGTAAGGGCTAGACTTAGGGTTAGGTTGATTAGGTCAAAAGCCAATAAATTAGCTTTTATACAAATATATATTATTGGATCTTGAGAAATTAATTAATAGACCTCCAAGGTACTACAGGCTACACACACCATACGCACACCTTACACACCCTACACACACCATACACACCCTAGACATACCCTACACACAAGTTACACATACCCTACACACACCCTACACACACCATATAAAAACCATACACACACCATACATACACCATATACACCCTACACACACCCAACACACACCATACACACCCTAGACATACCACTGCACCATTGCCCCCCCCTGCTCCTTCTCTTAACCTATGATATCCCCCCCCCCACATCGCCTCATGTCGCCCCACCAACCCAGTACTCTAAGGTCACCAACTGACGTGTTCCACAGATTCCAAGGTCAGCCTTGAGGGCATCCAGCTGGACTCTCTCTTGCCGGAAAACCGTGAAGATTTTTACCGGTACGACGGCAGCTTGACCACACCCGGCTGTTACGAGACGGTCACGTGGACAGTCTTTAAAGACACTGTCAAGATTTCAGAAGAGCAGGTAGCATCTTTGTATCTTAGTTGACATCTTAGCTAATTCATTCAATACGTGGGTCATTTCATTCAATAAATGGGCCATTTCATTCAATAAATGGGCCATTTCATTCAATTTAATTTCATACAATCCAGTCTCCAATCAGAAAATTATTGCGATATTGACTAGTCACCATTCTCGATAACTATAGGCTCCACTACACTCCCCACATCTACTGTACCACCCCCACCCCGTACCCACATCCCCACACATTATCTCTCCCCTCACCTAACTTGCTCAACTCTCCCCACAGCTCAAAAAACTCAGAAAAGTCAAATCCAACGAAAAGGACACGGCAACCAATCACTACCTTCCTCTTGTCAACAACTACCGACCAGTTCAGCCAATCAACGCCCGTCTTATAAAAGCAAGCTTCCGTTCGCTATCAGGGGCCAAGTCTCTAGTAGCTAGCCTGTCATTGGTTGTATCTGTCGCTGTGTTATCTTTACTCAAACATGCTCTATGATCTACGGCAGTTATGTTGGTTTTTTAAAATTAATTTAAATCCAGATTTTTTAAAAGTAATGTTACTATATATATGATTTTGTTAAAATAAGTTTCTCTTTTGAGGACCTTCCTTAGCATAATAATTTGTTGTTCAATATATTTATTTTTCAAATGCAACTAAAAGTTTGAACTCAGATAATGTCAATAAAATCAAACTTTTGATTTCCCTTTTCGGTAATTGTCGTACATAAACATACACAACAGCAATTTTGTAAAGTTGAGAGAAATTTTTAACTTAAATCCCTAAACGCGATTTTCACTTCTTTTACCAACACACTTTTAAAAATGTTTTTAAACCCTAAAACGGGTGTTGGTTTCAAAAGTTCCAGAAAGTTCTGGTACCGAAATAAATTACTTCACTGACGGATATTTACGTCTCCATGAAATGTTGAAGTTTTTAAAAATGTGTCATTTGTATTGGCAATGCATTGCGCATCAATTCCAAGAATAGAACGGAGATTCCCGTTCGCTGTTCACATAATTTTTCCAGTATCTTCACAAAGCCATCATTTGAGATCCATTGTTTGAGATCCATCATTTGAGATCCATTGTTTGAGATCCATCATTTGAGATCCATTGTTTCTGATGTTTTCATTACCCTTGTGTGTGCCAAAGAATATTATCATGTTACGTAATTAATTAGGCTGAACCAATCAATATTTATTGTTGTAAATATGTTCATTTTTTTTTTATTTTATTGAGGTTTTACCAGCATCTAATTAATGAAGTAATTAATGAAGTAATTAAAGACGCCTGTGTTATGATCCAGGCAGAGAAGTATTACTCAGATTGTTGGTGTTCATACAATCAATTTTAATACATGTAAGACTATGATTTAATGATTGTTGTATTGATTGTTATGATTACTATAATATTTAGAAAAAAAAAGCAATATTTTGTTGTGATTTGTATGGTGCGTAATCAAAGTTTGTCCAACTGATTTTAAGGCTACTCTCATTCATTTTTTTTTAAAAATATTTTTTGAATGGCTTCCCTTTGTATGGACTGTAAAGGGACTTAAATATATGTTCTTATATTTTTACAATTGTAAACTAGCATAACAAAAATATATATAATTCATAGTTTTCTAATGTAACATTAAAATGCATTTTTATTTTAACATTTCTAAAGATGTATAAAAAATGTTTTCTGAAATTAACCAACGCAACAAATTAAATTCTAATTTTGTTTCCTGAAGGAATAAATATTTATTTTTCCATTAAATGAAATTTGTGTCAGTCACAGAATAAAAAATCAGTCTTTTGTGTAGATCAACTAAGACAATTTTTTAAATTTTTGAACTGAAACTCGTGAGGTGTCTATGTTAAACTCGAAACTCTATTGTATGTGATTTATTTTAATGTAAAGCTCTGTTCGTTGGTTACATGCCGTGAAACTACAGCCAGTTTTCTTCATGTAAATGATGTAAATTGTATTTGGTTACTTATTGATACATGGGATCCTTTTATTAAATCTGTATAATAATCTAGATTAGTTTTTTCACTTCACAAATATTCATGTCGCGCGTGATGATGTATATCATGAGTGGCGTCACTAGGTCGGGTGTCACCCGGTGTTGTACGCACCCCCCGACACCCCATTGTGACGCCTCAGCATACCTCAGTTTTATTTTAACCAACTTTTGACGTTATAGGCCTTCTGTTATGGCCAATCAATATTCCACAATTCCGTTAGCAGGAACCAGTTGAACTTGTAAGAATCGAAACCTTTCTTAGGCATTTATAAATCCATATTTTAACGATGTAGACAACTTAAGGGTGTTAGGTTATAAATCTACATTTAACGATATAAATAAATCCACAATTTAACTATATGGGGCTCCACATTTTATACATCCGCCATTTTATGTGAACTCATTAAATAAAGTTATACACAATAATGGATTTTTTTCATGTATATTAATGTCTTCATTGTTCTGCCTTTTATTCACATAAATATATAGATATAGATATCTGTCATACATATATATATTTTACATTCGTCTGTCACGCATCTGTTGGCTGCATGATGTATGACAGACACGCTAGTAATCCGTCATACACACATCTTATATCTGTCATCCATCTGTTGCCTACATGATGTACACTCTGTAATTGATGCATGGATGTGTAAAGTCTACCCATAATGCCATTTTACTGCACAATTTTTTTTTCTAATGTTCACGTTCGCATGTTGATTAACGATCAATGATTGAATATCTAAGATAATCAAAGCACTCAAAGAAATACTTGATGTATCGATGTATCGATTTCATGACTCGCAACACAGAATAAATATTTATTTACTTTATTCGTTCCATTAACTGTGTGTGTGAGAGCGTGTGTGTGCGAGAGAGTGTGTGTAAGAGTGCGTGAGAGTGTGCGTGAGTGTGTGTGTGTGTGTGTGAGAGAGAGAGAGAGAGAGAGAGAGAGAGAGAGCAACTTCAGGAAACTTTATGTGTAGACCCTTGTCTTTGAAGTTATAACTTTTTTTCTAATGTTCAAGTTCGCATGTTAATTAACGATCAAATGGTTTGCTTCTTGCGACCGTCCTAGAGCCTGATTCAATCAACACTTGACATAAGATGATGATTAATGGAAACAGATTTTTAAAAAAAAATCATAAAAAACGTTTTACTAACATGCTTTTATGTAATAATGCACTAAAAAGTAGAAAATAAATTATAGACTACTATTTAAATAACTATAAAAAAGCGTGGGTCACTTTAGTATCTATTGGATACCTTTACTAATGTTTAGGAAGACACCCACGCTTTTCTTTATCTATCTAATACTACTAAAACTCAACTTTGTTTACATGTTTGAATATTTATTTGTTTTTTTGTTTGTTTGTTTGTTTGCCTGATTGACTATCTCGCATGGTTGCACTCATCGTGGAAAGCTGTAAGATAGTATGTAGGTAGAGAAAAATTTTTGTTTTAAGACAGACTGTTAATCACACATTTGTTTAAAGACGTTAATTAATTTATTGATTTATTCATACGCAGAGTAACCCATTTTTTAAAAAAAGTTTAGAACGACCACTACACTCGGCGGGACCGTGACGTCACAGTTTTTTGTTTACTCTTTAGTACAATAAAATGGCGGCGTCTATCGAAGAAAATTGTGTTCCCATTCAAAAGTTTAACGCGTTCTAAATCTAATTTTCTGTCGGTCATAACTTTAACAATACGTCCGTTTGCTGTATTTATTACGTTCCAACACTTATATCAATTTTAAACTGTCTTTTTTCATTTAGTTTTACAATAAATTTCTCTAGATCTAAAAATCAGCTGTCGAATGAAAGTTATGAATCTAGCCTAGATCTAGGGTCTAGATCTAGCCTAGATCTAGGTCACTAGACTCAATGTAAATTCTAGATCTAGACTTAATGTAAATTCTACATCTAGAATCTATTTCAGGCCTTAATACATCTAGATCTAGAATCTATTTCAGGCCTTAATTATTTTATATAAATCTTTGTTTGGCTAATTTAAGATAAAATTTAATTTGAAAGTTACTACTACTAGACTTAGATCTAGATCTATGCGCGGAGACTCAAAAGAATAGTATAAAAATTCACTTGTGACGTTACGAGTAAATAGCTAAGCTGGTAGCGTAGTAGGCTCTCATGCAGGTGGCACGGGTTCTAGACCAATATGTCGATGAAATTTTTTTTTTCAATTTTTTTTTTTTAGATGTGAATGATAAAGTTGCCTATCTGAACTTGGCAAGATACAGGGCAGGTGAAGTAGAGTTCATCTGTTTCTTTGTCCTAAGCATATGAAAGGATAGTGTGGTCAGAGACATGCTCGGCTGGAATCGTTTTTTAAACGATAAAAACATGTTGTCTGAGACTTGGCGGGACACTGGGCAGGTGAAGTAGAGTTGAGTAGGTCACATGTGACGTCAGTATATGAAGGGATAGTCCGAAATCGGTGTTTTCGGTGTTTTTAAAAGATAAGAAACATATTTTTGAATGTGGGGTCTGTTTTTGTGACGATAAGTGACACTGCAGTAGCGTAGCGAGGAGGGGGGGGGGGGGGCGGGAGGGGAGGCGGGGGGGGAGGGGAGGCGGGGGGAGGTGGAGGGGGGGCGGGGGGACATATGTTGGGGCGCCAAAATGGTTTGGAAAAATAAATTGAAAGGTTGAGGGGGGTTCAAATCGAAAGTTTGAGTGGGGGGGGGGGGGTGCACATCAAAAGTTTGAGGGGGGGGGGGTTGAAAATCGAAATCTTGGGGGGGGGGGGGGTTAAAATCGAAAAGTTTGTCCCCGGGCGCCGGGAAGGGTCGCTATGCCTCTGAGTGACAGACGTGATGTTTTTTGATGGATGACCCCCGAAACCCACAGTTATCCAACTAATGACGGGTATTCTAGTATACTACTAAAAGTCAAGTTTGTTTACATGTTTGAATATTTATTTTTTTGTTTGTTTGTTTGTTTGCCTGATTGACTATTGCTCATAGTTGCACTCATCGTGGAAAGCTGTAAAATAGTATGTAGGTAGAGAAAATTTTTTGTTTTAAGACAGACTGTTAATCACAAATTTATTTAAAGACGTTAATTAATTTATTGATTTATTCATTGTTAAATTAACCGTATTTTTTTAAAAATGTTAATACTTTGAATAAACTTTGTGGGGATAGTGACGTCCCTTGATGTGTTTACTTTTTTGGCACAATAAAAATGGCGGACTCCATCATAGACTTTGTGGCCCATTCAAAAGTTTAACGCGTTACAAAGCTAATTTTCTGCCGGCTATAACTTAAACAATACGTCCGTTTGCTGTATTTATTACGTTCCAACACTTATTTCAATTTTCAACTGTCTTTTTCATTTAGTTTTACGATAAATTTCTCTAGATCTAAAGATCAGCTGTCGAAGGAAAGTTATGAAGCTAGCCTAGATCTAGATCTATCTAGATCTAGCCTAGATGTAGGTCACTAGACTCAATGTAAATTCTAGATCTAGACTTAATGTAAATTCTACATCTAGAATCTATTTCAGGCCTTAATTATTTTATATAAATCTTTGTTTGGCTAATTTAAGATAAAATTTAATTTGAAAGTTACTACTACTAGACTTAGATCTAGATCTATGCGCGGAGACTCAAAAGAATAGTATAAAAATTCACTTGTGACGTTACGAGTAAATAGCTAAGCTGGTAGCGTAGTAGGCTCTCATGCAGGTGGCACGGGTTCTAGACCAATATGTCGATGAAATTTTTTTTTTTCAATTTTTTTTTTTTTAGATGTGAATGATAAAGTTGCCTATCTGAACTTGGCAAGATACAGGGCAGGTGAAGTAGAGTTCATCTGTTTCTTTGTCCTAAGCATATGAAAGGATAGTGTGGTCAGAGACATGCTCGGCTGGAATCGTTTTTTAAACGATAAAAACATGTTGTCTGAGACTTGGCGGGACACTGGGCAGGTGAAGTAGAGTTGAGTAGGTCACATGTGACGTCAGTATATGAAGGGATAGTCCGAAATCGGTGTTTTCGGTGTTTTTAAAAGATAAAAAACATATTTTTGAATGTGGGGTCTGTTTTTTGTGACGATAAGTGACACTGCAGTAGCGTAGCGAGGAGGGGGGGGGGGGGACGGTAGGGGAGGGGAGGCGGGGGAGGGGAGGTGGTGGGGGGAGGGGAGGCGGGGGGAGGTGGATGGGGGAAGGGGGGCGGGGGGACATATGTTGGGGCGCCAAAATGGTTTGGAAAAATAAATTGAAAGGTTGAGGGGGGTTCAAATCGAAAGTTTGAGTGGGGGGGGGGTGCACATCAAAAGTTTGAGGGGGGGGGGGTTCAAATCGAAATCTTGCGGGGGGGGGGGGGTTCAAATCGAAAACTTTGTCCCCGGGCGCCGGGAAGGGTCGCTCTGCCTCTGAGTGACAGACGTGATGTTTTTTGATTGATGACCCCCGAAACCCACAGTTATCCAACGGATGACGGGTATTCTAGTAGTTATTTAAATAGTAGTCTATAATTTATTTTCTACTTTTTAGTGCATTATTACATAAAAGCTTGTTATTAAAACGTTTTTTATGAATTTTTTTTTCAGTACTTTACATGTTTTATTTACAATAGAGTTACATGACTAAAACCCGTTGCGCGCCTACTGAACGTGATGGCGCGCCTAACGAACGTGATGGCGCAGCTATTGAACGTGATGACGCGTGTGGTGTGGTTGGATAGACATGCCTACTAATTCGGTCCAAATTTTAATTAATTCATAAAAAAATAATTAGGCATCCAATTAAGTCAAATTTAATTTCAGATTGCATTGTCTTCATGTCTTGACCCACGTGCCAACTCTGAATCGTATCGGTCAAGTAGAAGTGTCCGAATTTTCACTCCTGCGTTTCGTTCTAGACTGACGTCAGACAGACTGACGAGGAAGTGAGTTAAATAAAAGCTTGTAAAAACGCCAGCATCAGACAAACGGATCAAATTTTGTTTTTTTTTGTCCAGACTTGACTTCAAAGAACCTTCGATGTTTTAAAAAGTTGTCAGCAGGCTGGTTAAGGAATTCAAATATCCAATTATATTTTATTGGGTCACTTTGTTGTTTCAAACAACTTTTTCTAAGTTCCCAATTGGAGTGTTGGAAGGAATTTTTCTCAACACAATTAAGAATGATCTTGTTAGCTTGATCTACTCCATATGAGCCGTTCACTCCTATTTCAGCCTGCTTTTCTTTCTGGATTTGCTGTCACAGCCTTGTACAACAAAGAACTAACTTTCTCTCTTAGATGGGTTATCCTTTGTTATCCGCCTCTTCTGCCCGGGATTTGAACTCGGGACTTTTCGGTTTAGCAACCATGCGCTTTACAGACCAGACTACGCAGACCCTTTTTAAATAACGGAAGATGATAATGGCAAACACAGCCAATCAAAGCTCTAGAAAAATCTCACGTGGTATCTGAAGGTCAAGGCTAAAGCCTACCCTCGCCTAAGTTACTCTTACTGTCCTGGCGGTCAACAGGGCAGATGAAGTAGAGTCGATCTGTTTGTGTGACCTCGGCATACAAAAAGATAATGTCGTCTGTCACATGCCCAGCCGTCATTACTTCCCCTGGGTCTAGTACACCGGCTATTCAGTTAAGAATTAATTAATTTGAGACTAGAAACCAATCACCACACATGGTGGCTGTGTTAACAAACGGTGGTGTATGTTCTGTTAACAAACAGTGGTGTTTGTTTTGTTAACAGACGGTGGTGTATATTTTGTTAACAAACATTAGTGTATGTTTTGTTAACAAAAGCTGGTGTATGTTTTTGTTAACAAAATATGGTGTGTATGTTTGTTAACAGA